GGAGAAGGTTTGACCCCTAGATTTGTTCCTACTTATACAACGTTAAATAATAGTTATTAATTTCTGACAAAATGGAGAGAGTTTGCCCCTAGATTTGTTCCTACTTATACAACATTAAATAATAGTTATTAATTTCTGATAAAATGGAGAGGGTTTGACCCCCTAGATTTGTTCCTACTTGCACAACATTAAATAATAGCTATTAATTTCTGAAACAATAGTTGGAATGGGTTAGGTTTCAACCCCCTTGGATCCCTATCCTAAGTCTGCACCTGTTTATAAAACATTAAACAATATAGTTATTAATTTCTGAAAAAATTATGTAAGGGTTTGCTACCCTGGACCCCTCTGCTAACACTTCATCTGCTTATACGATGCTAAAGAATACGTTTACTCATTTCTGGAACAAAAATGGATGAGGGTTCTGGTACTTTTCTACCAGATCTGCACATGTTTATACAATATTTAAGAATACAATTCTGTAATCATGAATTATAACCATAACACACTATAAAAAAAAACAGTAAATTCAAACTAGTAGCCAGAGAGTTGGCAGTGGATGTTACCAGCCAGTTACCTTCCCTCTTGTCAGCAGTTCTAAATTAATCATTGTGGCAGATAGCCTTAGAAGCTTTGTAATAACAAAAACAGGAATAGTAAACTTAGTGGCAACGGGAATCATTACTAAACTGTCAAATGAGAAAGCACCATCCACCTGCCTATTATGTAGGTTTGTGCTTAACCACAAACAAACATAATGACGGAAGCACCATCCACCTGCCTATTATGTAGGTTTGTGCTTAACCACAAACAAACATAATGACGGAAGCACCATCCACCTGCCTATTATGTAGGTTTGTGCTTAACCACAAACAAACATAATGACAATATTTCAAATACTTGGATATTCAAAATAATTTAAAACTCTACTTACGATTAGTTGATTATTTTTGTGACAATTGACTTCATTTGAAATTTGATTAATCAACTTTTGGAGTAATTGGAAGTCCTAATTTTGATTACTTTAATCAACCCAATCAATTTATCTTAATTTTGATTAATCAATTACTTTATTGGACACTAATAAATTTAATTGCTACTCATAAGTAATCAATTATGCCGATTAAATTGCCCAGCTCTACATGTTACCCCTAATTCTTTATTGACTATATTATCATAAAGCTACTGTTATCTCATCCCTAAATCTTTATCTTATTGTAAATGTACTATCTTTAGTATATATATACCACATATTCAGAAACCTTAAGTATGTCTTTATGTTACCACTGAAACTTCTTAGAAGTTTGGTTGTATCTTAATAATTTATGAAATTCTCGTGTTAGATGAAATGATAATTAAGTCAATGACTTGTTATAAAATAAAAAATTTGGGAATTCTGAGCTGCAGTGAATGATCAGTTTTTCAGCAAAATAAACTTGAACCTACAGTACTTGTATCTAATTATTAAATAATCAATTCCTATTAACATCATTTGCTTTTTATGGAATTTGTGATTTCTAAAAGTCAGATCTGTTCACATATTGTTTAGTATTTTAAAACAAGTTTGTAATAACTTGGAAATTCATAAACAGCTGTGAAGAAAAACAGCATTTAATCACTGACAGTTCTTGGGACAGTAGCTGTTTGAAGACTTTTCACTAACAGTTTTTGTGAGAGATGTAAAATGTATAAATTCCTTAATGTAGTGAAATCAAATTGTGCTTTTGATTTTTTCTCTGTAGTTATTTGTGAAGAATTGTTTTAATGTAAATAAATCTGTATCATAGCTGCTAGATCTTTGAGAATGGATCTGGATCATAGCTGTTAGATCTTCTAGTGGATCTGGATCACAGCTGTTAGAACATCTAGTTTGAACCTGAATCATAGCTGCTAGATCTTTTAGAGTGGATCTGGATCATAGCTGTTAGATCTTCTAGTGGATCTGGATCACAGCTGTTAGAACAGCTAGTTTGAATCTGAATCATAGCTGCTAGATCTTTTAGAATGGATCTGGATCATAGCTGCTAGATATTTTAGATAGGATCTGTGAAACTGTCTTAATAGGAAGGAATGTAGTTGGTAGTGGTTTTACTGTATCAAAAAGTTATTCAGCCAGATGAGTATTTAAAGAAAATCTCTCTACCAACCGGTTTTTCCATAAAACTCATTGACATTTGTATTTACTTTTAGAATAAAACAGTATAATATTTTAGTTTTCTGGGAAGGGATTTTCTTGTGCCTGAGAGTGCCTTGGTTGAATAAACTAATGCTTGATTTACAGTCCTCATCAAAATATATCTTTTGTCATTTTTTGTGTTTCAGGCTGTAGACGAACTGAATATCAAAACCAAGAACTTTAAGGATCTATTGACAGATGAAACATTTCAAAAAAAGGATATCATTACCTTGCAGGTAAAGCTTTCCTTGTTACAATATAAACAATAGTTGGTGTGGCAGGGAGGAAATGATTTTGGAAAATAGTAGTTATCTTTGTGAGTTTATTTATTCAGGATTGGTTGTCTAAACGTTAGGTTGCCCAAGCTTTTCAGCTCATGCTTTGCAAGGATTATGTAGTCAGTGACAAGACTTATAAGGATTTCTGGTAACTTGTAAACTACATAGTTTAGAATTTGAACCATTGCTGCATTCAACATACCACATGACACACAAAAATTGATGTTTATCTGTGTTTTTTTAATATTTACTTTTAAATTAAGAAATTGAGTAATGTATAATACTAAAATTTGATTATAATGTTCAGTTTGATACTAAACTTATTGACATAAATTCATGAAATAGTAGTTCAATAAAATGTTAAATGTGATGACATGGCCTTTCACCCATGCCCCATCTGGAAAGGTTTAATATCAATGATACTATTCATGTATATAGGAAGTCTGTAAATGTAAAAACAGATTGGTGTTTATGATACAGGTTTCTCAAGGGGAAAATCTGCATGGAATCTCTGAGACTTGAATGATGTTTTAGCACTCTTGAGTTTGCCTTCATCAGGTAAGGTTGTGGAAATGATTGACTTAACTCTTCAGAGTTGTCTGATTGACAGATGAGCATGGACTTATGACAGAGCTCTTTAGGATTTTTGACCAGGGAAGCTGAGAGATGGTTGGTATTTAATCCTAAATATTTGATTTCTGTTTTGTATGTAAAGTGATTTTTCTTATCTTTCTCATTTTCTGCTGTATCGGTGAGTTTCCAGTTTTCCATGTAACTAGGTAGTCAGCAGTAATGTATGAAGAATACAAGAATAGGGAACTTCATAGATATTTTCTCTGCAGACACATTAACTTTGAAATGCCTGATCATGGGTGATTTATACACTGGAGAAACTGGCTGAGATTATACTAATATAAAAATGTAGTCTGATTAATGTAGACTAATAGTCCACATAGAAAAACTGGAAGCCCATTGATAAATCAGAAAACTGGAAAATCAAAAGGATAACCACTTCATATAAGAAACAAAAATTCAACAATTAATGGAGACTTAGAATTAAATACAAACAATCTGTTGGCTTCATTGATCAGTACTTCTAAAAAGCCCTGTCATAGGACAGTGCTCTGTAACCAATCAGCTGACCCTCAGTAGTCAAGTCAGTCCTGTTCACAACTAGAAATACCATTAAGAAACAAGCATGCTTGATCTGATGAAAACAAATGCAGTAGTGCCAAAACATTGTAACAACTACCAATGAAATCCTCTAAAGAAATCACTATTTATATTAAAAATCATATTTTTCTAACTAACTAACATCACTTTGTCTTGTATATACCAACATTATTCTTTCCAAAGGACCCTTCCAACTTAGAGAAGTTTAATCTTTCAAACTTCTACCATCTGAAGAAAAACCTGAAAATTATTGATGAAGGTGAGTAAATAACTTTATATAATGGAGTTTTGTTATGTACCTTGGAAAAATCATATGATAATACTGAGAACATTAAAGTTAGTAACCTAAAACTATGTTTCTAGATCTGTGGCCCCAATTAACGATCTCTAAAGTTATGTTTCTAGATCTGTGGCCCCAATTAACGATCTCTAAAACTATGTTTCTAGATCTGTGGCCCCAATTAACGATCTCTAAAGTTATGTTTCTAGATCTGTGGCCCCGATTAACGATCTCTAAAGTTATGTTTCTAGATCTGTGGCCCCAATTAACAATCTCTAAAACTATGTTTCTAGATCTGTGGCCCCAATTAACGATGACTAAAGTTATGTTTCTAGATCTGTGGCCCCAATTAACGATCTCTAAAGTTATGTTTTTATATTTGTGGCCCCAATTAATGATCTCTAAAGTTACGTTTCTAGATCTGTGGCCCCAATTAATGATCTCTAAAGTTATGTTTCCAGATGTACAACTCCAATTAGTAATATAAAATTGTTTCTGAATCTAAAATTTTAGTTAATAATCTAAAGTTATGTTTCTAAATCTACAACTCCTATTAGTAATCTGTAGCAATGTTTCTGAATCTAAAATTCTAGTTAATAATCTAAAGTTATGTTTCCAGATGTACAACTCCTATTAGTAATCTGTAGCAATGTTTCTGAATCTAAAATTCTAGTTAATAATCTAAAGTTATGTTTCTAGATCTACAACTCCTATTAGTAATCTGTAGCAATGTTTCTGAATCTAAAATTCTAGTTAATAATCTAAAGTTATGTTTCTAAATCTACAACTCCTATAAGTAATATGAAGCTGTGTTTTTAGGTCTGATTCCAATTAGCAAAATAAAAATATTTTTCTAGTTAACTTAAAGCTGTATTTCTAGATCTACAACTCCTATTAGTAATCTGAAGTTATGTTTCTAGATCTACATATCTTCATTTAGTAGCCTGGAGTTATGTTTACAGGGACTTCAGATTATGTGACCCAAGAAAGACTATAAGGTTGAAACTATGCTCCAGTTGTGTGTATATTTATCATGTCAAGAAACAAATATTTGATTCTCTACAAACATTCTTGATGCCACAACCTCAGAATGGCCACGGAGACATCTTGTTCTGTGGTTCATGTAGAGCTATAAACGTGTATCCTTATTACATAATAATAGTGGGACTTTTAAGCTATTTTGCCAGTTTTTGTAAGGGTATTTGAAACAGTTTTTCTACATTCAATGATATAGCTGAAGTCAAGGTATATGCTCAGTCTGTCACATGGATAACATGTGTAAAATTTGTAATTAAGTTAAAAGTTCCTCAGAGTAATTTCCTTGTCAATACTCTGCTTTCCTCAGCCTTAATCTCTGAGAAATTGTACCAAACTTGTCATTTTAGTTTACATACATACATTGGTGTGAAAATATAAGATAATTTTAGCTTGGAAGTTTCTGTTAGAACCAGTTTAAATTTCTATTTGTTGACCATTTTAGACAACTTACTGTTTTTCTTTTGATGTGAAATTATGATATTTTTTGAACAGAGGAAGAAAAAGCCAAGGCCAGTGGAATGTACACTTTGAAAGCCATTGGTTCGACAGCCAAGAACATTCTAGATGAATTAAATAAGGAGTACAAACCTCCAGTAAGCCCATGTCTAATTTGATTATGGTGAACTCCCCTTAATCATTAAATGGAGCTCTTGTTATATTTATAAAACCCATACATTTTAGGATTAATGAAGATCTGTAGTTTGGTCCTGTTCAGTTTATACTCAGTATGCATTTATTAGTTTAATATTTTTTTAGGTTGGTCAGTTTAATCTTCTCTTCATTTGTTCTCCATGTAGTTTTACAGGAAAAAATTGATTTAAAGTACCAGTCATATAGTGGTGTTTGTTATCTTTCTAAATGGTTAATCTTTTTTTGTGTATTTGCAGGAAAAAAATGAAAAAGCAAAGGTTGTAGCTGATAAATTTAATGCTGCACATTTTTCTACTGGTGCTGTTGCTGCTGGTTTCACTTCCACAACTTTTGAACCAACTACAAAGCATGAATCTGGTGAGTTTGTTTCGATGGTCCATGTTTTACATGGTTCTGATTTCATTTTCACAACTTTTGAACCAACTACAAAGCATGAATCTGGTGAGTTTGTTTCGACGGTCCATGTTTTACATGGTTCTGATTTCATTTTCACAACTTTTGAACCAACTACAAAGCATGAATCTGGTGAGTTTGTTTCGATGGTCCATGTTTTATATGGTTCTGATTTCATTTTCACAACTTTTGAACCAACTACACAGCATAAATATAGTCATAACTTTCTTTCACAACTATTGTAAAATCTGTAGAATCGGTAAACTACATTCGTGTATTAAAAAGTTCAGTAACCAGAATGTTTTCGAAAACTACATCTCATCAGAATTTTTTTGGCTTACCTTGTTAGTGACCTTTGTTTTTTTTAGTTCTCTCTTTGCTTAGTAAAACCTGATGTTGTATAAAGTAGGGTGTAAAATATACCAGAAAACCTTCTTTTCATTTTTAATAACATTTTATTATCATATCCTCACTGTATTATATTTTAAAAGCAATTTTCATCACTTCTGCCAGATCAAAAAAGAAAGGGCTTAAAGTAGCGGACATTTCTGTGGATAATTTTCTTTTGTTAATAAATTGTGAAATTTTACTTGATATATTCATGAAGTTGGAAAAATTGTGACTTAAATACAATCTGTTTTTTGTAAGCAGTTGTTAACTGTATCAGAATAACACTGTTCTATTGGTTGACTGCTGTGTATATATGTGGGAGTTAACTATAGTCACTTGTGTGGTGTGAGCAATAATAGAGTGTAATGTTCACAATGGGTCATTTAAAAGGCAAGTGGGAGAAAAAAAAGCCACTAATATTGGGGGGTGGGGTGTGTACTGTAGTTGTAAGACAATCCTGGATAAAAACTATTTAAGAAAACATTCTAGTTTGTATCATCTCCTGACCAAGCAATAATGTAAAAGCAGAAAGCATGGTGTAAAGGACGTAAATTATTTTTACTTCAGCCATCCTCGAAGATGATATTGTTCGGTACAGCAGAGTAAAGAAGAAAGGATATGTTCAACTACTGACCAACTGTGGCCCCTTGAACCTAGAGTTGCACTGTGATCTCACACCAAAAGCATGTGAAAACTTCATCAAGTTATGCCAGAACAACTACTATAATGACACCATTTTCCACCGCTCAATTCGTAACTTTATGGTAAGCAGTGTTTCTTGTCGGGATTTTACAAAAACAAATAAACTGACAGAATTTCATTTGCAAATTGTAGTGTTTTTGTTGTATTTGCATTCTAGTGGTCTGCAACAGTTCGGGATTCGTTGAGCTTCTCCCCGATATCAAAAAGGTTGATTAATGCTATACTAGAGGACTAGTTGTGTCCATGTATATCTACTTCATCCAGTTATTGGTTAAATCTACTACTGTTTAGTTTTTACATAACTTCACTACCTCATCAAGTTATTGGTTAAATCTACAACTGTTTAGTTTTTACATAACTTCACTACCTCATCCAGTTATTGGTTAAATTTACTACTGTTTAGTTTTTACATAACTTCACTACCTCATCCAGTTATTGGTTAAATCTACTACTGTTTAGTTTTACATAACTTCACTACCTCATCCAGTTATTGGTTAAATTTACTACTGTTTAGTTTCTACATAACTTCACTACCTCATCCAGTTATTGGTTAAATCTACTACTGTTTAGATTTTACATAACTTCACTACCTCATCCAGTTATTGGTTATATCTACTACTGTTTAGTTTTTACATAACTTCAAGTCTCATAATTCATAATAGCTCCTTCAGCTAGTTGCCGATACTTTCAGAACCTCAAACCTCTATAATTTTGTGCCGTTGCTAGGTAGACCTTTAACCTAAACAGCTGTAATTTATTAACTTAGCCTTTTTTTCTTTCATTCTTTCAGATCCAAGGAGGTGACCCAACAGGTACTGGAAAGGGTGGGCAGTCATTTTGGGGGGAACCTTTCAAGGATGAATTCAGACCTAATCTCTCTCACCAGGGGCGTGGGATACTCAGCATGGCTAATTCTGGAAGAGATATTAACAAATCACAGTTGTAAGTGACTTTCATTTATCAGTTTGTTCAAAGATATCCTTCATAAGTTAATAAATATTGCACGTATGTTACTATTATTGTTTTTTTAATTCTCTAGAATGTGTTAAGAAATTCTGAATTTTTTAAGAATAGTCAATATAAAATATAAGTTTCCAGATTAAATAACAGCCATTAATGAGACTTGTGTGATATATGTGTTCTTAAAAATAAGAAAATTGTAAAGAAACTACTATGAGGATTTTATTAGGCTGTAAAAATCATGAATTTTGGAAGGTGGACTAGATGTCTTTACTATAAGTATTCATTTACACTTAATACCCTCCCAAACTTTTTCAGTTTCCATTATTTTAAACAAATTCAAATTTAACTTAAGATAAAATGATATCCTTACAGCTTCATCACATTCCGATCCTGTCAACATTTGGATAGAAAACACACCATCTTTGGAAGGTTAGTTTATTTGACACAATAGCTTAAGTTCTGTATGACGTCATGAATTGTAATACATTCCTTGATGTTGCTTTATTCCTATTTTATATCTCAGTTATTTACATATATTTGATCATCTCAGTTATATGAAATGTTTGAAACCTTTATTTGTGATTTCTGCCTGATTATAGATTCTTTGTTCGTGAGGATATTAAAAGTTTACCAAATGTACATCTTGAAATGAAATTTTGAAAAAAGTTGAGCTAGATTTTACCATTGCTCTTCTTTTTCTCAAGGGTTGTGGGTGGTCTTGATACACTAAATAACATCGAAAGAATTGAAACTGACGACAAGGATAAGCCTATTGTAAGCCTCTTTTCTTTTTTAGATTAAGTTTTGGACTTGAAACTCTGTAATAACTTTAAAGATTTCTAAAGAATTAAATTTACATATTTATTAGTAGTTTTTGAGTGTCAAATATATAGACATGAGATTGTGAACATACACAAACAAGATAGTAATCATTTAGCAGTAAATATAGTACACTAAACAGTCTTGACAATGAGTTCTCCCAGTGAAGTGATAAACACTGTTACAGTTATGTGTACTTGTGAAAGTGGTTTCAAGTTCAACCTATGAATAACATTATTTAAATGTTTAATATTTGTATATATATACATTTCCTGTGTTAGTCTAGTTGATAGTTTTAGGAAAAACCTCACGAGATAAGAATGATGGTACCACAATGATGAATCAGTGTATTCTAATCATTATGAGTTTACTTACTGATTAGAAGTATTACTTTATTGCAAGTTACAGTTTTTACAGTAAGGAAGTATTTTTTTAGAAAAGTTACAGCTTTTCGTTCATTGCCACAATCATTCTCAAGTATAAAATTATTAATAGTAAAGAAGGTTTTAATATTTAAATCACTATTTAGCAATCTGACAATGGATTTAAGTTTTAAAATTGATAGTGCTTATTTATGCTTATGCATGTCAATCCACGTGGCGTGACAGATTATTTATTTGTGGCTGAACAGAAAAACAAAGAAAGTGAATAACTGTGGAACATTATCAAAGTATTTGCATAAGATAAAGAATGTCTAGGAAAATAAAGATCAAACATATACAGATATATAATTGGGTATTTGTTTATTGTGGGTAAAGATCAAACACATACAGTTATATAATTGGGTATTTGTTTATTGTGGGTAAAGATCAAACACATACAGTATCTGTATGTGTTTGATCTTTACCCACAATAAACAAATACCCAATTATATATTATAATTTAGTATTTGTTTATTGTGGAATTGTTTAATTTTATTAATAAAGCTTTTGTGTTAACGTTAGGTTGATGTTTTAGTACTTTGACATCAACCTGTTAAAAAAAACTGGTTGTTTTTGTTCATATGTTTGTGGACTTGGGAAGGGGGTTTTTGGCATTCTTTTCTCCTGATCTACAAATTACATTCTGTTTCACCTATGTAAGGCTTTGTTAAATATTTCTCCTAGCATGTGTTTAATTTTCATTCTAGGGCATTATCTTAAGGTTATATTTAAGTGCTAGTCTTTTCCAAATTTCTTGGAGAGGTATGATATTTTCTACATATGGTATAGTGCAGGTGATTAGGTTTTTTAAATGTCTCTTGTCTGTTTTTTTCAAATTCATTAATAGTTTCTGTAACTACTTTACATTATTAAAGCATTCAATTAAGTGTGCAACTTGTTCATCAGTGTTTTCTGTGCTGCATATAGTGTATGCTAAACTTAGAGCTTTTTAGTGCCAAGCTTCTAGTGGATTACATGATTACAAAACCAGTTTATGCAATTTCCACTGTATGTATTTTTCTTTTCAATGAAATTTTTAGTGAAGATGCCTTGGGAGGTTCGTGTGATATTAATGTTTAAAAAATGTATCGTGTAGTTATTTTCGTTTTTATGTAGGTTGTTTATGTGCTGAAAAAATTTTTTGTTCATCTTGACAAGTAAGGCCACAAAAACATCATCTACATGGCCGTAGGAAACAGTAAGGCTAGTCAGGTGACCATTTTTAAATGGCATATATAGCTATAACTTATGTATTAAAACTTTTTTCTTGTAATTCAATACATATGTTGTGTGTATGCAGTACTTGTAGTTATAATGGCCCAAAATTCAATTTTCAAATATTTTCTGAGGATCATGCCCCAGACCCTCCTAGAAATGGCATTGGCCTGACCACTCCATAACTGGCAGGCTTATGGAAATGACTATGTGATGTAAGAAAAGTGCCTGATAATGGATTTCCATGGTTAGTCTGTGTAACTGAAGTACAAATATCTGTATTGAAAGCATATAAATGTCACTAGTTGTAACAGTTCAATTAGGTGTTTTTATTTTACGTTAATTCTCGTTTTGGAGTCCTGTGAACTAATTTCTGCAGAAAGTTCTATTGCCTCATGACAAGGGGTTTGGGGGAATAGGTTTACGACATTACTGTATGAAGTGTTATTTAATTTGGTGATTATTTTGGAAACATAAGGTTAAAAAATCAGTTAAAGTATTTACTGAGGTTTTAGTTTGAAGAGTTATAAGAATACATAATTTGGTGTAAGTTTATTTGGTTTTTATGGACTTTCGGTAAACCATAGACTTTTTGGTGTTCTTGGGTGGTTTGTATGCAAAAAATTATAAAGTTTAAAAGTAATAATTTTTTATTTTAGTAACATTTTGAGTAATTTGCTCAATTGTTTGTTGGGGTAAGGTCAGTATTTGACTTAGTAAATTTAAATGTATAATTTAGTGTATTTACCTTTAAAAAATCATACTGTTTGGTTGGTAAAATCACAATAGTTTCCTTTATCAGATGAAAATGTCTTCATTGTTTGTAAGAAGTTTTTGGCCTTTTCTTTCTGCTGATGTCAAATTTTGTCATCAAATTCATCCATGAAATTTTATTATGGACCTGTTTTTGGTAGGGAAATTAAATTGTTCTAGTTTTTTGGAATGTTGAATATTTTTGATGAATTAGATGTGGGTTTAGTTGCTGTTGATTGGATTTGCAATTTGATTCTATTATTACTTTCCGGCAGAGATTTTTAATCTAACACTGGAATGATGAGAGGCGTTACTGCATAGTTAAGTCCTTCAGTTTGGGCTGTGGTTTAAGATTCACCAAGTTGATCACATTGTTCTTTACAGTGTCTTGTTTTTATTAGGAATGTGCTGACAGACAGTTTTTTCAAGTTTTGCCTTTAAAGTAAGTTGTGATCAAACATGCAAGGTTACTATGGAGAAAGGTCAGTTCTCTGTGTGTTTTATTTGAACTTTTTATACGATAATTTTGATTTCTTTTGTATGTTGTATTGAATGTTCAGTTTTATTGTTAGGAAGGTTGGTGTCAACTTTTTAGAAAGGTTAGAAATAAAATCACATTCTTCAGTTTGTTTTGTAATGAAATAAATCTCGCCGTATTGGTGAGGCTTAACTGACATTCCATGATTCATGATATAGAAATTAGATTATAACTTTGGTTAAAAGAGATTAAAGATGACCAATTTTAGATGGCTTCTTGTAGTTTTAGCGCTTTATCCGAGATGGTACTCCTTGTCTTTGAGGAATTAGGTTAGGCCTATAAACGTAGTGACGTAAGACTAAGTCGATGTTATGCACAAAAAGGTGGACCTTTCAAAAGCACTCGAATTACAGGGTTTTTATCATTTCATATTAAGACTTCTTGAACCTACGTGTTTTTCTGACATCGTGAAACAAAATCTCAATTGCTGCTGTAGTTTGAATTAATAGTTTCATTGTCAGTTTACTTATTGATTATATGTATTATTTTGATAATAGGTACATCACTTTGATCACTGGTATGATTATTCTCAAGTACACAAGTTTTAGTATTTAAATGAACATTCCAAAATCTAACAATGTGGTTACTTATGCATATTAATCCATGTGAATTGACAGATTATTTATGGCTGAATAGAAAAAACAAAGTGAAGAAATATGAAAATGTAAAATATTTGCATAAGATTAGGAATATCTGGGGAAATAACAATCAAAGACAAATAGAGGTGTGCTTGGGTATTGGTTAATTGTGGGACTGTTTGATTTTAACTATGCAGTTACTCTTCCCACCACATTGGAGATTGATTTAAAACTAGCTCTGAAGACTTTTGTAGGAAAGTAATAATGGATTCAATACCCATTTAATTCATTGCAGAACAACAAAGAATCAGTGGAAATATTCAACATTCCAAAGATCAACTTAATGAGCAATTTCCCTATTAAACCAAAAGCATTAAAAAAAATTCTAAACAGAAAGAAAAGGCTTAAAACGTCTTAGAAACAACGAAGACATTGTCATCCAAAGAGTTGATAAAGGAAAATATCATGATTTTAATAACCAAACCATAATGGTAAATATATTGAATGATACATCTAAATATTCACCTTAACTCAACATACAACAAAAAATTGAGCAAACTACTCAAAATAGTATTTACAGAAAACTTACTTTTAAACTTTATAATTTTTGCATACGAAGCAACCAAGGAGACCAAATAATGTCTTTTTATAACTCTTCAAAGTACAACCTTGATAAATACTTTAACTGGATTTAGACAGTAACATCATGATGTCTAGCTCTGATGTTGTAAATCTATTTCACAAGACCACCTAACTGAACTGTTAAAAGTAGCAATTTGCTTTCAATACAGAGACTTGTACTTCCTTCAGTTACATAGACTTCCATTATGAGGCATTTTGGCCACTTTTCTACATCACAATAAAACATCATGCCATAGTCACTTCCATATGTAGATGACTTTTTTTTATTCAGCTTTATTTGTCAAGATGAACAAATAAAATTCCTTCAACATATAAACAATCTACGTTAAGACATACTACACAAATAACATAACACGAACCCCCAAGGCTTCACTACTAAGGTTCACAGCAGAAAATACATAAACTGGTTTCCTAATCATGTAATCCACCAGAAGTTAGGCATTCTAAAATGTCTCCTAAATTTAACATACACTACATGCACCACAGATGAAGAAGTTACACACTTAATTCAATGTTTTAGTAACAGAAACTATTAATAGATTTAAAAAATACAAAGAAGAGACAGTTAAACACACACTCATGAAACAAAGGAAACCTAATGACTTGCATTATCCCATATATAGAAAATATTAGCATACCTTTATAAGAAATTTGGAAAAGGCTAGCCCATAAATATAACCATAACACATATGGAATGAAAATCAAACACTTTTTGAAACTTATATAATGAACCCACCCCATCAGGAAACATTTACAAAATAATTTCTGAAACAGGACATAACTTGAAGATCAGGTTAAAAGAACAAAAACCTCCTTCCCAAGACCATGAACATATGAATGAACAGAATGTCACAGTACTAAAAGTTGAACCTAACGTTAACAGAAGAAAAATTACTGAAGCCTTATTACTAAATCAAACAATCCCACAATTAACAAATACCCAGGAATGTCTCTGGCTATTTCTCCAAAAATTTCTAATCTTATGCATAACATATTTCACATTTGTTTTTCTGTTCATCCATAAATAAATAATGTGTCAATTCACATAGATTGATATGTACATGCTTAAGTAACCACTATCAATTCTAAACTTTAAATACATTGTTGGATTGTTAAACCGTTTACTTGAGAATGATTTCACCAATGATCAAACATTGTAATTATTAATTTACATCAGCTACATTACTTACTGGGTTAATTTTTTTAGTTCTGATCTGTGTAGGTAGCTCACTTTGATCATAATTAATCAGGATCCTGATAAAGGGAAGTCAAAACAGTAGATAAATATAAGACTTCATCTTTTTTTTTTCTAACAAAGGAAGACATCAAGATTCTGAAGGTTGCTGTCTTTGTTAACCCTTATGAAGAGGTTGATGAACAGGTAAGAAGATTTGATTGAAATACCAGTTTACTGTTGCAGGTTTTAATAACCACAGTAATATGTTTAACACCAAACAAACAATGGCAATAGTTGATTATTTTCGTGACATTAATCCAGTTAATTGCTATGTTCTAGTAACTAACATATTTATTTTTCATGTTTTTAACGTGTTGTCTGTGAGACATTATGGATTTGGAAAAAAAATTAAAACCATTTCCACATTAAATTGTATGATCATAGTTAGCTAAAGAGAGAGCAGAAGAATACAAGAAAAAAGAGGAAGAAAAAAAAGCCACGACTACGAATAAAAAAAGTATCCAACTGAAGGTTTTCAGAGAAGGAGTTGGGAAGTACCTAAATTTGGAAGAGAGGTGAGTATCAGATGGTAGAATAATCCTAATTCTTTTTATAGCAAAGTTAGAAATTTCTCTGATATTCGCTGTATTTCGTTTATTTTTATCTGTGCCCAAAATCTAGTTCTAGATGTATGAAACCGTCAATTCAATGCAGACACTTAAGGTCCTAAAAAAAGGAAAATAATTACTTTGGACTCTGCTTGGAAGGAATATTAACCTTAATTTATAGGTGGTATTAAAACACTAATATCTTGGATCAGTAAAGAAAGGGTAGTCAGAAATGTTTGGGATAAATCATCACAGTTATAGTCATGCATCTTCAATTAAAAATCAAACTTAAAGGTTTAGAACAGTGATTGTTGGGCTGTTAAAACATTTCACTGACTAGTCTATCTAAAGGTTAGGTGTTAAAATTAACTTTTTCCCCCAACCACTTTAGTCATTTAAAGTATTGTTGTTCAATAACAATTTACACAGTTAGAAACATAAATATATACATGCTCAGTTTGTTTTTACACTCTAATGTTCAATAACAATTTACACAGTTAGAAACATAAATATATACATGCCCAGTTTGTTTTTACACTCTAATGTTCAAAAACAAAATGGTTCCTATTGAAAGACTATATAAACAGGCAGATGGTTTACCAAATACTTGTATTTATAGTCATAAAGTTAAGGTTTTTTGGATGTACACATCTTATTACCACAAAAGGTGAATCTTTATTTAAAAAGTATGTAATTGAAAGGTTTGAATTTCACAGTAAAGGTAAAGAAAAGGATTTGCCTACACCACCACTGAAGAAGAAAAAGAAAGTTGTGGCTGGAGGTTTTGGAAATTTTAGTTCATGGTGATCAACGTACAGCCAAACATCTGTAAATATAGATAACATATACAAGTAATATGGGATACTATTTGATCATCAACTGTTGTAATGTTACTATACCTTTTTTATTCACTTCAAGTTATTCCTAAGGAAAACTTAAATCATTAAAAGCACCATTTTCTATTAGAATTCTGTACAATGCATTAAATTACTGACTTATAGTTGCTTAGGAAAGAAAATGCTAACAAAGAATTAGACATACAGTCAGCTACAATAAAGATGGTTTATTTGACAAGGCATGTCCGCTAAAAGTACATTATGTGGTAGGAGCAGTGTTGAGAAACGTAATCTTCTTATAGAAAACTGGTTACTGTGTAAAGATTGTTCTACATTTGATGAAATGGGTAAAAAAAAGAACATGCCTTGTCAAATAAACCATCTTTATTGTAGCTGACTGTATGTCTAATTTAGTTAACAATAATGGCATTACTACTCATTTTGTGGCAGGAGCTGAATTCTGAACTGTAATAATATTACTTAAACACATAACACCTAAACTGTTCAAAGAAATTAAAGTTTTTCATTTGATGTGCCATCACTAATTTGACTTTTAAGACAATTGGTATAATGCCAGTGTACCTGTTATATAACTATTAGAAATTTCAACCCTCCCCAAAGAAGCAATCTTCACTCAAGTTTAAGATTTTATCAAAATGTGACAGTAAACTCAATTAGCATGCTGTAACAGTTGGGGAAATTCTGTAAGAACATACATAACCCCTGAAATTGTGAATTGTTGTTTTTCTAACAGACTAGATAAGAATGTAGCCTCTTCAAGCAAACCTCATAAGAACTTAATTTATTGATCAAGAGGTGCACCACAAAACAGTCATTTTTCCTAACAATAACGTTACTAGTTATCGCTCGTTGAAACTCAACTTAAGTAGATTTGGCTGACAGTTGATATTGTTATGAAAAAAATACAGCCTCAAACACCTCTAGGCAGACTTTCTACTATTGATTAAAAGTTATTAGTACCAGTTTTGCTACTTCTGCCATTAGTGTGTAACATGTGATCTCTATAGCTGTAATTTATCAAAATACAGTACCAGAAATTTGTTGCTTTTATTATTAATCCATCAATATGCTATAAATCTGGATAGCAAACTATACAATAGCCATGGCAAAACACCAAGAATTTGTGAGTCTAGAAAAACAAAAGTTGCACAAACATTAAAGTACAAAAAAATACTGTAGACCTTACACTTATGTAGAAGAATTAAAATCAACCAAGACATAGGTTATAAGATTACATTTTAAAGTATCACATAATGACAGCAACATACCATTATACACATATAAATCACTATATTGTTTGGCATTTTTTAAGAAGACTTGAGGAATGAAAACACACACAGGTTGGAGGTGAATGGGAGGCTCTCTAACAGCAGAGGTTGACTTTTTAGTTTCATAAACATCATCACGACAGTTTGTGTTAATTAAATCTACTCAAGTTCTGCTAAGTGTATTTATTCGTCACCTTGCGTTCCTCGGACTGGTCCTTCGTTAATTTGCTGAAAAACAAACAAAAAACAATGTTCAAGGTAGTATCAAGTCATGAAACTAGTCTGACATAAGTTCTCTTCGATATCACTATCATATTATTTTTGGAACTAATCACCAAAACCTTTACTGATAACAAAGAAAACTTACTTTTACATAATCTTTTATTATAAGCAAAAAAACCTCAAACTGATAACTACGTTAAGAGGTTAACATTGTATGGATAGTACAAAGCCAACTAAGTAAAATTTGTAACTGATAACATCACTGAGAGCTTTTAATTCTATCTGCAAAAGTGGGGTCAAAACACTAGTTACAACTTTTATGGTTACATTCAAAATTTAAATAAATAATTTTATTGTATGTATTAATTGAAAAAAGGAAATGTTTAAATAAATTTTCAGTCTTCACTTTGCATGTCATATGATACCTCAATGTTCTGATCTTCACTTTGCGTGTCATATGATACCTCAATGTTCTGATCTTCACTTTGTGTGTCATATGATACCTCAATGTTCTGATCTTCACTTTGCATGTCATATGATACCTCAATGTTAGAATTTTAATTCTTCCCTTATATGGGTTTCAGAATGTCTACCAATTAGAAACACCAACTATAAGTACTGATAGGCTCAAATTTAAGATAAAAAATCATTCATCTTTATTTTCTGAGTTATCAATAAATTTGTTACATCCACTACAGCAGCTCCTTCCAACTCATGCTTTTAAAAATTACATAATTACTCGTGTTTTCTTGTCAACAGTACAAAGGAGAGTTTAAAGTTCAAGCTGCATCATGTGACACAGAGAAGATGGAGACATTGTTCTTTTGAAATTAAAACCTAGATAGTTCAAACTTTACATCAAACATGATATTAAGAAAGGTTGTGACAAACATCCTTGGACCCACACATACAGTTAATACACTTCAAAGATTTGAATCAGATACTTGTTTTAGAGCTATCAGAATGAACTAGGTTCTACTCCACTGTAGGTCTAATAGTAAAACATAAAACTTCAGTTTACCTTATTCAGTACTTTCTTGGTTTCATCTTCAATTGCCCGGATTTCTTCCATCGTTAAACCATACCAGTGATCTAACCAACAGAAAACTTGACGGTGAAAATTCAAGAAAATTCGTCTATAACTCTAGAAAAAAAGATGAGGGGTATTCTATATTAATACTGAAACTTAAAACAATGCAACCTGAATCATCATGGGACATTACTGTAATATCCAAAATTATTGTGTAATTTTTCAGGTTAAGATGACTACTGGCCAGAAAAACTAACTACTTTACAGCTGGATAAGTATATCCTGTTCTGAGCATCTGTATCTAAACAGGGGCAATACCCTTAGTGATTAGGGCTACATAGCAATTGTATTAACCATTTCGCAGCCATAAAACTAGAAAAAGATCAGAATTCACCATAAAATATGTTTGTTGGAATCAGTAAAACATTAACAGACACTGTTAGAACTAATCCTTTGAATGATAAAAGGAATATTTTATCTACTTATAAATCTTTCAACAACAACAAGCAGAGACGTGTAGCATTCAAAAGACTGATTTAAAATACTATTTTCACACTTATAGTCCATAATGGATTAATGAAGACAAACTTAAACCTTGGCGATTAGTGTCACTTCACCAATAATACTAGTTTTATTGCTTCACCAGCTTTCAGCGTATAATTTGGAGCATAAAACATACTAAAATATCCAGTTTTTTACCCACTCAGTCATTAAGTTCATGTTCTATAGATATTAAATACTGATGGTATTCAGAGAAAAAGTCAACTGGAGGAATATTCTCACAGTCAAACAACTGAACCCAAATTATCACATCCAAGGTGAACTGGAGGAATATTCTCACAGTCAAACAACTGAACCTACATTATCACAATGAAGGTGAACTGGTGGAATATTCTCACGGTCAAACAATTGAACCCAAATTATCACATCCAAGGTGAACTGGTGGAATATTCTCACAGTCGAACAACTGAACCCAAATTATC